AGCACCAGCACGTGTACTGGTGACTCCACTAAACCCACCACAGCACCAGTCTGTGTACTGGTGACTCCATTGAACCCACAGCAGCACCAGCACGTGTACTGGTGACTACACTAAATGCACCTCAGCACCAATGTGTGTACTGGTAACTCCACTAAACCCACCATATCACTCCATTGAACCCACAGCAGCACCAGCACGTGCACTGGTGACTCCACTAAACCCACCACAGCACCAGTGTGTGTACTGGTAATTCCACTATACCCACCAGAGCACCAGTATGTGAACTGGAGACTCCACTGAACCCGTAACAGCACCAATGTCTGAACTGCTGACTCCACCGACACCAGCATGTGTACTGTGGGTTGCACCCACGATGGTGCCTCAGCGACTACGAGTCACATGCTAATCACACCMCTGATGCTACCAGCACCTTGTCACACCCATACTGTACCAGCACCGTCACTGGTACCAACACCCGTCACGATTACCGGGGCCGTGCACAGGCAATGGGACCAACACCCCACCGCGCCCACACCGGGACCAGCCCAGCAGCAGAATCAGCGCCCCGGTCACGATCGCTCTGCTAGCAGCACGGGCGCTGGTCCCAGAGCCCCGCCACGCCCACACCGCTCCCGGAGCCGATCGCGGTCCCACAGCACGGCAGCACCAGAGCCCCCATCGCTGACTGACCCGGCGATGAGGATGATGATGCGGAGCGGGTCGCGGGCGATGGTGAAGAGGAAGAGGCCGAAAGCGGGCCCGAAGGCGATGAAGGTGCACCCGAAGAAGACGGCGAGCGTCATTTCGGCGGGAGCGGGGATGCGGGACCGGGGTCGGACCCGGAGCTCGGACCGGACGGGCCCCGCGGCCCCTTCCCCCTCCGCCGCCCTTCCGGGGCCGATGACGTCACACGTGCGCGCGCCGCCGCCGCCGGAAGCAGCGTCCCGGGGCGGGGCGGGGGCGGGGCCACGCCTGTCAATCACGGGGGGCGCGCGGGGTTGGATGACGGGAAAGGCCTGTCCTGAGGGTTGGGGCGCTCGGACGGGCTCCTGAGGGAAGGCGTCACAGAACCGAGCCTGTCCGAGTTCAAAAAGCGCTTGGACAATGCTTTCAGGCACATGGTGTGACTCCTGGGGTGTCCTGTGCAGGGCCGGGAGCTCGATGAACCGTGTGGGTTCCTCCCAGCTCGGGATGTCCTGTAATCCTGTGAGGACGCAGCCTGCGCCCAGGGGAGCTTGGCCTTGTCCTCACGGGCACCCGTGGGTGGCATCCTGCGGCTGAGTGAGGGATGCAGGCTGTCCCACCCTCAGTGGTTCTGTGCACCTTGAGCCCACCCGCATCTCAACGAGATTGACACAAATCGGGAAGTGCGCTTAAGGGCACTTCCACCTTGCTCACACCCACACCCCAACACACACCCTTTCTGCCTCCAGAAGACTTTGGACAGGTACCTTGGATGTTCTGTGCGTGCTGAGCTGGCAGGAACGCGGTGCCCGTGCCAGTCTTGGTACACATGCAGCAAGCTCAGAGAAGGTCTTTGAGGGGTCTGGATCTCATTCACTCAGGGAACACAGGCCCCATTTCTAACAGGCACAATTCACAGCTGAGCACTCCCACTTGGGTTACAGAGGGCTCTCCTGAGCCCAGGGAATCCCAGGGGATGCAGCAAATCCCCTGCAGCTTATGGGTTTGCAGACAGCAAGTTGGTAGCTGGAAATGGCAATCACAGGATCTTTTCCACTTGCTCCAGACACATGACTGATGTTTGGCTTGACCACCAGGGTATACAAGGCCAAGTCATGCCTCAGCACAAGGGTTCCCAAAGAAGGAGAGAGGGCAGTTTTGTCTCTGCCTAAGGTTTTGTCTTTGTAAAACATCTGTCAGACCAACTGGTCTGAGAGAGTCATATCTCTGTAAGCTGGGGACATTCACTTAGAGTACCTGTGTTCATTTCTGTGCTAGCACTGGGCAGTCTGCCCTCTTGGTCAACAGAGTCTCCTGGGTGAAGATACCCAGGACCCAATGAGGGGTGGAGATGACAGCTGGGGCCTGCCAGCTGGGAGATGTGMCTCTGGTGGCTGCAACATCACAGGGGATGGGTCACAACAGAAGGTGTCACCAGAGACATCACCCAGCAGCCCCAGCTCCACTGCAGCTGGATTCTGGTGATCAGGGATTGCGCCTGAAGAGGAATGYTGGACTGGATAGGGATAGGGGCAGAATCCCAGGGGGGTTTCTAGCAAGAATAGACACGAGCTACTCAGGGCAGGGCACGACACAGAACTTGACTTGGGGCTGAAGGAAGAGGAGCTTAGGGCTCTCAGTGGTGGCAAGTGAATGTGGATGTCCTCAGCCCCCTGCTTGCTCCCACCCCGACCTGATGAGCTCCCCACCAGGCCTTGGCTCTAGCACTGGAGTTCTTCCTGGCTCTGCTGACCATCCAGCCCAGGCTGTCCCATTGTGACCAGACCCAAATGGATACAGCCAAATGGATGGAAGAGTGTGAGGAATATCTGCATCATGAGATGACTTGTCTGCTTCAGGTGACTGAGGGGAAGAGGGGCACCATGGAAGTCCCACTCATTTCTGCAGTGCAGCAGCAGAGGCTGAGGTGCTGCAGCCACCCTGGTCATAGTTACTGTGGGCTGCTGGCTGGACAGGCGAAGGAAGTGTGCCTGTGCCAGCTGCAGGGAACTCCAGCAACAAGGAGGACAATGGCCAGGAGGAGTCCAAAGATCTCACAGTGGTGTCAGATCTTGTTGACCACTCTATCTGTTACCAGTGGAAACATTCACATTCAAACTAAGACTGGATGGGGCTGTGGGTTACCTGATCTCGTTGACAGTGCACCTGCTCAGTGTGGCACTGGTCTTTAGRGATCCCTTCTGACTCCAGCTATTCTGTGATTCCAAAGTAGAACCTGCCCAGCACATGAAGCATGGGCCAGCGTAATAGAATCAAAACTAGTGATAAAATCCTAAGGCAATACTATGAAGTTCACCAAAATAATGGTCTTAGCCCAGTCCGCAAAGACAATAAGCATCATCATGGGGAAGGCATTCTGCAAGAAGGGCATCACATAACAGTGCCTCACATAACTGAGAACAAGTGCTTTTAATTTATTTTCTTTTACTCTGAAAGGCAATGAGTCAACCTTATGACCAGCAACTGCTAAACCAATGCAATGAATGCTCCCCAAGGATCCCTTCCTGCCTGTCATCCTGTCATAGGCCTGTCTTGCAGCAGAGATACTCCAATGCTGGTCCCAGATGCTCTGAGCAAGTGGAACAGGGGCCACACATCCTCCTGTACTGCACACCTCCACCCTCACCAAGATAACAACCTCAAGCACTGCGTATGGGGCATGCTCATATGAAAATGAGGTGGCACTACGTGCTCATGGCTACTCATGCTTCCCTCCAGCTGCCTTGTCCTCTACTGGCATTGACAAGTCAATAGGATTGATTTGGGGGATGGGAGATTTGTGCGGTGCTTAGCTTTAGGGGGCCTGACCTGTTCTGCGATCCCCCAGAGCCTTGCAAAACCCTCACCACTTGGCAACAGTTTTTCTGGCCCTTATCCCAATGTCTCAAGCTGTAGATGCAGGGAGGGACTGAGGGGTGGCAGTWGTCTGTGCCTGGCTCAACACAGCTCGACATGTCTTATCAAAATATCTCAGATGCTCTTTGTGTGGTCCTCCCTCTCCAGCATGTAGTTCAAGGACATTGAACAGGAAGGATTCAGAGATGAAATGAGGCACTGGAGAGATGACAGAACTGGAGCAGAGAGCAGAGGTGAGAGGCTGCAGAAGGTTAATGTGCTGGTATGTCAATGGGGTGGCAGCCCACGGCATGGCTGAAAGTTCTTCAGGGAGATCTTCAGTCTGCCAGGCCAAGATAAATAAAACCAAAGGTTGAAATTCAATGGGAGAGGTGCAGAGAGAGGAAGGGAGGAGGGCATAGACACCTTTGTCTCCAGCATGGGGCTGTGACACCCGTGGGTAGATGTACTCCCATGCCAGCAGCTCCACAGTGCCCCAGGCTCCCAGAGCTTTCCCTGGGCCTGCATATTTCTCTGTGGGGCCTCAGGGTAAAGGAGATGGGTGGGAGAATGGAGGAAATGCAAGCCTTTGCTGAACCATGACATAACTCCTGTCTTTCCCAGGCTGAGCATCACCTGGGAACAGCAATCAGGATCTCACTGCCAAATCACAGGCAGTTCAAAAGAATAAAAAAGCCCATGCAGCGAGGTRTAAACAGTTTAGTCAAGTGGACTGGCCCAAACGAGGAGGCAGCAGCAGCTAATGGGAAAAAAACAGTGGGTGTGAACGGGCTCTTTGTCCCAGCAGGAAGGCGAAGGGCGCCCAGAGGCTGGGCACTGGGACGCACCCTGACCGAGRCACAGGGCAGGCTTGTTTGCAGTGCAGGGTGCAGGCTTCCAGAGAAGAGGTGCTTTTACACTGGTTCTTTTCGAAGCCAGAAAACCCCCTGCCTGGAAGGTACTTTGACTAAACAACAGAATGGCTCAGCTGATGTACTGCAGAAAAGGAAGGCGGGCCCAAGGAGGAGCTCCAGCCCTTGCGCAGGGGGGACAACTCAGCAGTCCAAGACACCATGTACTGTCCTCCCCTCCAGCTCCTCCAGGCCCAGGGTGGGAGGCTGCAGCTCACAGCCGACCTTGCAGCCTTGGAGGACAAACTGAAAATGAGCACCCCATGCACGGGGAGATTTTTTTCCTGTTGGAGAATGCCTTAGAACCACAAAACAGAATTGCTGGGGCAGGGAGAGGGCAGGAGGCCAGCAGCACCTGGGCAGGAAAGAGAGGCAATCTCAACACCCTCCTTTCCTGACCTGAGAGGCRCAGCAAATAAAGGAAAGCAGATAACAAAAGCTATCCCTGCCGGTCTCTTGCTGGGTCTGGCTCGACAAGAGGTCAGCATAAATTGTGTTTCCTGGCAGTATGTGGATGTGCTTTTAGAGGGATATCCGCTGGGTAGCGTGGGACAACAGGGCTTGGTGCATATTGTGGAGGGGCCCAAAGCAAAGGGCAGGACTAGATCATGACTTTGGGCGTCCCCAGGAAATCCAGCCCATTTAGGTGACAGCAATGAGACACATCCGGCTGCTCTTCAATTTGTGTTGGAAGAAAATACAGCAAGCCAGGAAGAAACTTCCTGACCACTTTGTCTGCTACATTAATATTTGCTAGCTTACACAGCTGTCCCTCAGGCAGGCGTTCAGTCACTGGCAACAGAAAATGCAACTAATGCAAAGGGTAAGCAGCTAATCCCAGACCTGGAGAAGATCCTGACAGCTAATAATGTGTGCATGCATGATCATAGGCATGTAGTTTCCTCAGTGTTGTAAACATGAACCTCCCATGGAGAGCTCAAAGACCTTTGTGGCTCCCCCAGGTGCCAAGCCAGTAGTATGCAGACTGTGGAAGGGGAAGCACCAATGACAATGATTTACCRGTGTGTGCTTGAAGAGGATGGTGAGTTTGGACTGAGCTTGAGATTTCCTCTGCATTCCAAGGAAGTGATGGAGATGAGTGATGTATGAAGAAATACAGTCCAAACTACGTGGCTTGTTCCAAGCCCACCACAGCCACAGAGGTCCTGCAGACCCTCCCTGCATGGACCAGGGAGGGAGAGCCACACATCCTCTCCCAGTGCCTGTACCCACCCAAAGGAGCAAACACAGCCATCCATCTTGTCAAACTGCTTTAATATTTGGACATGAAGACAAGACAGAGCCGTTTAGGCTGTGCACAGACAATATCCCCTTGAGCAACAGTGCAAGGCTGCAGAGCTTCCCTTCTCAATGGATGTGTGGATTTGGCCAAGATGCAGTTCAGCTGATGACATCCTGAGCATGCCAGTGGGGTGCATGTGTTGGGTAGGGAAGAGGGATAGGGGCTCGCCAGGGCAGCTCAGAGGTTGTTCAGCTCCAGTAAGGTCTGGTCCAGGACCTGGTGTATCCCCACATTCTCCTCTTTGGCACTGGCCAGGCTCTCTGCGAATACAAGGGACACCCAGCCACGCACACAGACACAGCCCAAATGTACCCAGGTGCAGCAGRCCCACACACATCACACCAAACACAGACACACACACACACAGATGGACATTTCAGTACAGCAATGGCCTCCAGTCAAATGGGGCATCTCCTGCGGAGCACAGCCCACACAAGTAGCCCCATTTCTGGCAGGGATGAGGGGGAGTCCAGCCACCCTGGGACCTGCCAGGGAAGCCAGGCCAGTCAGGCTGGTCACTGGGGCAGGCAGTTACCACTCTTCAACATTTCCATCTTCCCCCGGTGCCCCATTGCCCATGGCTGAGCAYCCCACAGCGCAGGTGCCACTGGCAAGTACCATTATTTGGCCAGACACCAGGGCATCACCACTGGCCAGCTGTGGGCACATGCACAAACCCTTGGCCAGCGTAAGCGAGAACCAATGCCTGCTGCATGACCCAGCAGTGCTCCGTGAAGAAAAGGAGTGAGAAAACAGCCCATTAACAGCCCAGAAGAGTGGGCAGAGGACAACAGAGAGATAAGGAGCAGAGCTAACAAGGCTGCAATGATAAGCTCTGCCAGGCAGCCTGCTGCCAAGGCAGCCTCCCTCTGGTGTTCACTTCCAAATGGCATCCTCCTTCTCCCAGAGATGGGGTGGAACATGACAGCTGTTCACCCAGCCCCGTCTCACAGTGTGCCCTGTTAGCKCTTCCCTGTCCCTTCTGGGGCAGTGGGTGGGGTGCTGCTGGGTTCCCATCTCCTATTCCAGCCTTCCCAGCACCCTATAACCTTTCTAAGGGATCCTCCCTGCACTGTTTGAGGTGACCAGAGTGAGGAGGAAGAGGCTGCCCAGCGACTCCTGGGACAAGGGGAGGAAGGCAGCAATACAAACCACTGCATCCCTCCCCAGCAGAATCAGGATGATGCCAGAGGAAGCCATCACTACATGGGCATCCCAGGACATCACAAAACCCCTCATATCTCTCCCACAAAAAACYGATCAACTCCAGAGGGGCTCCCTGTTCCACTCAAGCAGGGTCATTACCCCTGTGAGGATAAGGCAAGGCTTCACACCCTGCCTTACCCCAGTGGGGAGTGGGAAGGGGCTCCCAGCCCTGAGCCAGCCTGAGCAAAAGGGGGCAGGGAGGCTAGAGTGGGGCCAGGAGCTCTGAGCAGCTCAGTTGTTAAGTTCAGTAAGGATGACCCGCAGCTCGTTAGTGAGAAYACGGTTTTTCTCGGCCTCCTGCTGAGAGCGCTCTAGAGAAAATGGAGACATCAACGCAGCAGAGGAAAGAGAGAGAGAAAAGTGAGTTAGTAAAAAGAGACAGCATTTCTGAAAGCCTTCACTGGAAATACCACAAGCCACCGAGCCAGTGGTGGGATACAGCTGGACYGGCAGGAGGAGTCACCCAGTTTTGGTGCAAGGGACAAGGCTATAGGTCCAACAGTTTAGAAACTGGGTTCTGGGACATGACAGGGTGGTGAGGAAAGAGAAGGGGAATCAGGACCAATTTAGGGATCACAGGAGATCATTGCTGAAGGATAGTGCCAGTCCCTTCACCAAGAGRTGATGCAGGAGCCATGACAAGGCTGAGATTGCTATTTGCAGGCAGTGTCAGGGAGTGGAGAGAGGGAATGGACAGAACCAGGTCTAACCCTGCTATTTGACACCAAAAGACTCATGGGGAAGACTGCATGAGATGAGGAAAGCTGTGTAGAAGAGTCAGAGGGTGGCTCGGGTCAACACAATGGCCCCATCCCGCTCAGCCTGGCAGCACAGGAGCCCCCATGGTCACCCTGGGGACCCATGGCTGTGAGCTGCCTGCAACCCCCTCCTACCATGCTGCTGACAGTACCCACATGAGACAGGCAGGAGATGAGGGATAGAGTGGCATGAAGAAAACAAAGGAGAAACCAATGTTAAAATTTTATTGATATCAACTCATTAACCCAGAGGGACAGAACACAAAAGAAAAGTCATGAGATGCAAACTGAAGAGCAATGTGCAAAGGACAGTAGGGTGAGGGAGGAGTGGGGTCGCCTGCCTGCCGGGGAACAGGGTGTCTGCACAGTTGGATCCAACCCTCTATCCCCCAGGCCTGAGCTTTGGCAGTGGAGGTACCGCTTCCCCAATGCAGGTCATCCCCATGCTGGGGCCAGCAAACAGCACCGGGAGACTTTGCTGGAAGTACATGGGGAAGTATATGCTGGAAGTATATATCCCCAGCCCCGGAGCTGCAGGGTCCCCAGTGCTTCTGCTGCTGGGGAGCCAAGGAGGGAGCTGCTGGAACAAAGGGCTTCTGGGCACAGTCCTGATCCCCAGGGCAATGCTGTGGCATGGGCCTACAACTACACTGTCCAGTCAGTATGTGGGGCTGCTCTCCTGCCCTGAACAAACAGCTCTAAGCACCTACTTCTTGTCTCCCCAAAGAGGGGTACAGCGGGAACACCCCGGTCAGCTCCTGTCCCAAAGGAGCTGATGGACAGGCACAGGCTAGGTAGGACAGAGGACAGAGAGGGTAGGGAGAGAGGTGGGATGGCAAGGCAGGCAAACAGCCGAGCTGGGGAGGGGAGAGACAGGCAGGGAGTGGGTGCAGTGCTGGTGCCCAGCGTGGGGCTCAGAGGGAGGTGATGTCGTTAAGTGCATTGTCCAGCTCCTCGCTGATGGCTTTGTACTTCATCTTCTGCGCATACACTTCATCTGCACGTGAGGGCAGGCAGGGAGCAGATGGTGGAATAGAGTGGAGGGCACAGGGTGGAAAGAGAGAGTGGATGTGAGCGGTGGGCTGAGGGCAGCAGAAGTGAGCAGGCACAGACAGCATGGATGTGACCCTATTCCCCTCCTGGGTGCAGAGCCCAGACCCCAGGAGCTCTGCACTCCTGCACTGGACACCACGGCATCCAGCCTCCCCACTCCCAGAAATCCTGCCCACCCCCTCCCTCTGGCCGAGCACTGTCTAGCCACACCAGGGGCATGGTGTGTCCAGTGCTGCCCCAAGACAGAGGAACACAGGGTTGGTGGGGACATTTTACCTTCTAGGTCATCAATGGTTTTCTCCAGCTTCGCCACAGATCTCTCTGCAAACTCCGCACGGGTCTCAGCCTGTGGGAAGCACAGTGGGAAAAGGGTGAGCAGCAGGGCAGAGCAGCAGGTGGTGCAGACTGCGCTGCACTCCAAATCTGCCCCATCTGCACCTCCGGAAGCCCTTCCGTGGGAAAGGCAAGGGACAAGAAATGACTAGGGCTTCATGGAGCCTCACACCCTTTACCAGAACAGACTAATGAAGGTCATTCCACACCTCGCAATGCTGCAGGGGTGGCATTTAGGAAACTCTGAGAGGACATAGGCATACTAGGGTCAAAACCCATTCAAGATGGCAAGCTTATGCCTACACTGACTCCGTGGCAGCTCTATACTCCTTACCTCCTTCAGTTTTTCCCCTAGAAGCTTGATTTCCTCCTCGTACTTATCCTCCTTGGTGGAATACTGCAGAGACAGAGACAAGCACCTGTGAGTCTCAAAGGATACCATCACCTGTCCTTCACCCCAGCAAGAGACTGCAGCATTCCCAGACCCCACACACTGTCCCCAGCCCCAGCAGCCTCACTGGGTCCTACCTTGTCAGCCTGGGCCTCCAGGGACTTCAAGTTGTTGGTGACAATTTTCAGCTCCTCCTCTAGGTCACCACATTTACTACATCCCAAGCAGGGCCGGCAGGAGGGGGGGAGTGGGGCCAGAGGGCAGGAGAGAGGCAGGAGCAGAAAGAACAGGCACGGGGAAGCAGGAAAGAAAGAGAGAAAACAAGTTGAGAGAGGAGAAAACTCAGTGCAGGTGGACAAGGAGCAGAGCCGCTGCGAGCGGGAGCTGCCGGGACGCATCCGTTCATCCATTCCTTGTGCTTCCTTGCACGAATACCTCGTGCATCACCACCAGCCAGGCTCTCACTGGCCCCGCCAAGGGAAGCAGGGATGGAGGGATGGAGGAGTGTGCCTGGCCTGCACCCATTGGAGAGGAAGGTGAGGGGAGGCCAGTGGTGGAGGCAGTGGTGCAGAAAGGAGAGAGGTGGCTCGCATGGTTTGAGAAACAGCGACAGAGAGAGGGGGCTGCTGCACATCGCCCCACRCCCCTGCCCCAGTACCTCTTCCTCTGAGGCAATGAGGGATTTGAGAGACTGGTCCATGGTCCGCAGCTCTTCTTCCAACTGTCTCACTCGGCTGGGGTGGAAGAGGGGCACCCCGGGAAGGGGACAGCAGAGAACAGGGTCAAGGATGTGGTGTTGGTGGGTTGGCATCCCCCATCCCCCAGACTGCAATCCCAAGGACCACCCCAATGACAGGCATTGCTGCTTCCAGGAAGGGACATCCCCATCCCCATGTCTGCCAGGGATTTGGGACATGGGCTGTGTGGGACCCCTGAACGCTGCCCACCGGGAGGCCCGCTCACCTCTCTGCCACCTCTGCCCTCTCCTCTGAGCGCTCCAGCTCTCCCTCAAGGACGACCAGCTTGCGGGCGACCTGTTGATGGCAGCAAGAGGCCCGTGTTGGCCCTGTGCTTGCCTCAGCAGGAGGCACAGGGCTGCAAGGAGATGTCTCTGAGTGTTGCCGGTGGGGGATCAGGACTGGGGAAGAGGATACACACCTCCTCATATTTGCGGTCAGCCTCCTCTGCTATGTGCTTTGCCTCCTTCAGCTGCATTTCCTGGAGTTCCATCTTCTCYTCATCCTTCATGGCCCTGTTTTCGATGACCTTCATGCCTCTGAGAAAAGACCATGCCAGAAGATGTTACTGCTTTGGGTCAAGGTAGAATCTGCACATCCTGCTCATCCCTAACCACACCATCCTCCAGCTTCAGAGACGTGGGACTTTGCTCAGGGAGAATAGCACTTGCTGGTCACCCTATGCAGTAGGGTCACACCAACAGTACCCCAAAAATGCTCCAGTGCAGAATTACAGTGGAGCTGGCCCTAGAGCTGTGTTCCAGAGTGAGGTATGGCGACAGTGCCCCTCAACCAGGCAGGTCCTGAACCCCTGTCTGGGGGGAAAAGTGTGCAGTCCAGGATGAGCCAGCCACAACCTCCACAAAAATAGCCTGACAGCCCTTAGGAAATACTGGAAAACATCCTGTGGCAAAGGCTTTCTYATTTGGGGTGATGCTCACAAACAGGAGATCACCAAAACCCTGCAAAGCCCCACAGAAGGGGCTCCTGCAGACTCTTCTCCTCTCACTCAGATGCTATTGCTCAAACTGGTTTTTGCCAATGGAGGGAAGAGCTCTCGTACCTGTCAGGAGCACTGTGACATGTCTGAGCACTCCCATATAACCTGAGTGCCCTTGCCTGCACAGCTCCACTCAGGGAAATCTGCTTGCCGTGAGGATGGGGCAACATACACTTTGTAGAACTCCTTTTGAATGAGGCTGTCCTGTTCTCAAATCTGACCTTAGTTAATAGCACAGAGGTTCCCCCCTGGGCTGTTATTGTGTCTTTGAGCATAGAAAGCGGTTTTGGGGAATAAAACATGCTCGTATCTTCCTCTGGCTTTGCTTACAGTCTGGTGCTTGTATAAATATCAGATAAAATTTTTCAGGGTTTTATGTGTACTCTGGATAAGAATGTCTGCATCTAGGGGACTTCTTTGTATTGTGGCTTTGCTCTTTCCCTTTGAGGTCTGCAGGAAAACCAACATAAATCCCAATAAGGTCACTTCACAGGGACCCCATTCCAAACCAACTGGGCTCTCTACAATCAATGGTGACCTGATACCACTCCCACCTCCCCATCCCACCTTTCCATCCCACTCCCTTTCCATCTCACCTCTCGCTCTCATCAGCCGCCTTCTCAGCTTCCTCCAGCTTCTGCAGGGCAGTGGCCAGGCGCTCCTGGGCTCGGTCCAGCTCTTCCTCTACCAGCTGGATACGGCGGTTGAGGGAAGCCACTTCAGCCTCAGCCTGGGGGAACAGAAACACCTCAGTCACCCCATGTCACACATATACACTGAAAAAAGTACTTTCACTGGTCACTTCTACATTTACTATCCAGAATGCCCCCTGGCACTGTGCAACAAGCCCATGCTCACTGGAACTGCATGCTTGACCATGCATCCCCTCRCTTTCTATAGGGACAGCAGGATGATTTCCATCCCTAGTGCCTCTTTGATGAAGCCTTACAACCCCAGCTAGGCATGGACAGCCRCACCATGTCCTTGCACCTCCATCTCCTGCCCTGGAGGGGGACAGGGCACGTTCACGGGGGTAGGGTGGCCATAGCAGCCRTGCCGTCACAGGGATGGTATTTGGGGTTTGCAGAGCAGTGAGTAAAGGGGGAGGAATGCCCTGTGTGGCTTCGCTCCCGAAAAGGAGATGGGAGCTGCTTGTGGATTTCCTGTTTACAGAGGCGGTGGAGTGAGCCGAGAGCTTCTCCTGCGGGAACCCCCAGGGCCCTGTGAAACAGGGCAGCCTGCAGCCAAGCACGGAGCCCCCCCAGCTGATGTACAGCACAGTGCCGGGGGCAGTGGAGCGAGTCGCCCTCGGCAGCCTGGCGCCCGGCCAAGGTGCGGCTGGCAGGACCAGAGCCCTCCCTTTCCCAGGCTCCCCACGCACAGGGCTGGGAGCTGGGGCTGGCCAGGAGCAGTGGCCCTGGCCCTCCGCCAGCCCGTTGACGCCTGGCCTTGCACTCTTTCCATTTGGTAAAGGCCTTCTGCTCTATCACCACAGTCGGGAAACGCTGCCTCAGCAGCTCCCAGCCCCGCTTCCCACCAGGGGGATGCAAGGAAGACAAACCCCCGGATATCAAGGGATGGGTGGCAATAAGACCTCACTGTGGGAAGCAGCCCCATGCAGGAGGCTAGATAGTGTCTCCTGCTTATTCATAGGCTGTAGCAGGACTGGCTGGCTGCAGTGCCYGGGATCATCCAGCCTCATGCTCAAGCACTGGGAATGCCCCAGGGAGTATTCATTAAGCACAGGGACTGTGGGAGCAGCAAGGGACTGTCACCGTGCATGGCCCCATTGAGCACCTGCAATCCCCTGTGGGGGGCTGGCAGGGCRCAGCCGGCACCTCTCTGAGAGGCTGCGAGCCCCAAGAACAGCCTTTCACAGACTCTCCATGAGCTCATCCCTTGCCAGGCCACCCAATGGGGAACTGGAGCTGGACACCACAAGGCAATGCTCTGCCTGCAGCATCAGCCTCACCGCATCMGTAGATTTTTTTCCCAGGGAATCACCCCCAAAGTGGGTCAGAGCTGCCCGGATGAACACTTGGGAACATGAGCGCTCCCGGCAGCTCCCGGTGACCGGGGAACCCGATCTGAGGCTGCAGGAAGGGGCCATTTCCTCCGCACACAGCCCGAGTGACAACAACCCGGGTACCGCACCCAGCTCTGCCGCTCCTGATATGGTGAGAATGTTGAATGAGTGGGCATAGAAAACAGAAAGAAAGGAAGAAAACAGAAAGCTCTAACARCTAAAAAGACAAACCGGGGAAAAGCTGCAGCTTGGGAATGCCATCGCACTGCCAGAATGGAAATTCTGGCCTGGGGCATCGTGAAGGGGTGGCTTGTCCCCACGAAGGGACAGGCTGGAGAGCTAAAGCTCTGCGGCCCGGACCGCAGAGTCCGCTGGAAGCCAGACAAGAGCCAGGGCGTGGGATTTTGAGCTGTTCACGTCGGCCTCCGAAGGAGGGGAATCCTTTCCCTGAAGGCGGCCGATCCCAAGGCAGGGCTGCCGCTGCCCGCTCCCAGCGCCCGGCCAGCCGGGAAGCCCTGGAGAGCCGCGCCGCACGCAGCATCTTCTCTCGCAAGACCCACGGAGGAGGGAGGCGGCTGGCGGAGGCTGCCCGCAGGCAGGGGCTCTCCCGGGCCCCCTGCCCGGGGGCTCTCGCCAGCTGAGCGGCAGCTCCCGGGGACCTCCCGGCGCTCCTCCGCCCCGGGGGCAGTCAGCCCGGCTACCGGGGCTCGGGCGGTCCGGGGCCGGCCCGCCGAAAGGGATTCCGGCAGCGGGGCCGAAGCCGGCGGGGCATCCCGGGGAGCTGCCGGGGTGTCCCCCGCCCTCCTCTTCCCATCCCAGCGGCCCTTACCCGCTCCCGGGCCTGCCGCTCGGCATCGGCCTCCCGCTGCAGGTGCTCGGCGCGCTCCTCCGCCTCGTCGGCCACCTGCTGCAGGCTCTGGATCTTCTTCTTGACGGCATCGATGGAGCTGGCGCTGGCCATGGCGGGGGCTGCCGGCGGGGAGGCCACACCGCCGAGCCCTTTGTGGGATCCGCCCGGCTCGGGCAGGAAACGCTCAGGCAGCGGCCGCTCCCGCCGCCCGCCCTGCCTCCATCCCTTCCTGCTCCTCCTCCTCCTCCTCCTCCTCCTCCCGCTGCTGCTGCTACTGCTGCCTCCGACCGACCTGCTCTGCCGCTCCCCCGGGCCAGACGTGCGGTGCTCACCCACGGCAAGAGAGAGTTCCCACGCCGGGAGGGATGCACGGTGCCCCTCATCCCAAATGGGACAGAGGGTGCCCCTGGGCAGGATGCATGGTCCTCCCCAGGCAGGGGTCAATGTCTGTGCATCCCTGACAAAGCAAGATGCATGGTGGCTCCTGGGCAGGGCACACGCTCCCCCTAACCCCGATCAGCACGCATCCCCCCAGGCAGATGCATGGATCCCACGGAAAGGGCATATTGTACACCCAGAGAGAGCACAGTGACCCCAAGGCAGGGCACACATTTCTATCTCCACCCCAGGCAGGGGTGCACAGTCACAATGAAATCCTCCAGGGCAATGGAGAGGATCCCAGGGAAATGGACTAATTTCCAGGACTCCGCGGAGTCTGTGATTGCTGGAKCCTGTCCTGAGTGAGCCCCCATGGCCACAGGAGCAATGAACCCATGGGTACTCCCCAGGCACTGCCCTCCACAGCCCTTGCTGCAGAGCCAAGGAGAGTCGTGGGCCTTTTCCTTATGGGAAGTCAGTAAGAACATGAGGAGAGCCCACTCCTGGGCACCCTCTGGGGGTACCTGGGGTGCAGCTAGGTCCCCAGCATCCATCATGTTCAGTCCCTTGGTATCTGCTCCCYTACATGAGGACCTGTCCAGCAGCCCCACGGAGACTCTGGGTGTCCATGGAGACCCTGGCACCTCCTGCCCTGGGGGCTGTGTCCTGTTTGGGAGGTCAAACCTCCAGCTCCTGGCTCTCCATTCTAGCTGGAGCACATGTCTTGATCCATCAGAAGGAGCTGGGGCTGCTGGCACTCAATCCTCCCTTAAGAAGCACTGACAGCTCCCTGGCTGCACTTCACACCTGCCTCCAGGAATGCGATTTCTCAGGCTGACCTCAGCAGCTGGCATCAGCTCCAGGGACAGGGGTCCTGGGGGTGACTCAGCCACACTGCTATCTGCACCCTGCAGACCCATGTCCCCTTGCCAAGAGGCAGAGGAAGAGGTGATACTGTGGGTCCTCTGGGAACACACAGCCTTGGGCTTGGCCTTGGGCCCAGCTGGTACTGCCCCGTTCCCAGCCCCAGGCCTGCGTGTTAGTTGTGCTCCCAAGCCAGGACACAGCRCCCAGAGCAGAGACAGGAGCTCCTGGGAGCAGTGGGGCAGGGATGAGCCAGCTGCAGGCAGGCAGGGGACAGGTTGGGGGCAGCCACCCTGGTCCGGCAGTAGCCAGGCTAGGTGCCTCCTGCTGTGGCTCCACCCCGAGATGCAGTCACTTCCCAGCAGAGTCCCGTTCCCTCCCACCAGCTCAGGGAATTGCCAAATAAGAGCAAAGTCTTGGCTGGGAAGAGCAGCTGGGGCGGGAACACGGGTGAAGCTTTTGGGATCATAGCCTGGGAACGGCAGTTTCCCTAAGGCCCCTGTGGGGTGGTTGGGGACAGGCCACCGCTGYGGATGCGGGGCGGTGGAGGGGACTGTTGTGCCTAAACCTGCTGTCCCTGCTACACCGTTTCCAGCAGCCCTTGCCCACATCCTGACCTGGGCACCACGGGCTGTGCCTGCTGGGGACAAGAGGTGCCAGGACCACGGTGGGCTCACAGAGCAGTTGGGAAGCTCTGTGGAGTCACTGATCAGGAGTCAGGCACTGCCTGCACTATGTCCCTGTGTGACACCTTTCCAAGTGCCTGGGGCATCTTATTTGCACTCTTTAGTGCAGTCCCCACAGCCTTTGCACCCCACCATCCAGTGCCAGCAGCCGGGCAAGGCTGTAGTGAGGTGGGTGTTCACTCTTTTAAGGCATTGACATGCCTCGATCACTGGAATGAGCCTGGCCCATCTGAGGAATGGGGACACTGTGCTCAGGCACCCACTGTCCTGGCAGCTGGGGAGGACACGGGGGTGCCTGGGGTGGAGTGYTCTGGGGGTCCACCCAACGCTTCTCTGCTGGAAGCACCTCGCACCAGGGAAAAGGTGACACCAGGGCTGGCACTTAGAGCTGTCAGCACATCCAGGTCTCTGGCGCCAAGGGGTGACTCCCAGAGCTCCACACGTGGGGCTGTCCAGGCTTTGGCATGGATCTGGGAGGGCTGTGCTGGTGATGGAGCCATCCTGCAGCCTGACACTGCTACTTGACCGTGGCTCCTGCTCCAGCCCTTGCCCAGCTCCCATCCACCGTATCTTCTGCTATGGGACTCCATGCTGAAGCCCACAGACTTGCCAAGCTGCTGTGGACCAAGAGCAGGGAAACACCCTCCCTGCCCAGAATGGCCTTGCACAGCCACTGCCAGCAGCAAACCACTCCACTCTTCACCCCACCCCATGGCTGACACCTGCCCAGCACTGTGTGGCACCCTTCTGTGAGCCCGCGATTGGGAATGTCACATCCACTCTCAACCACACTGAGTTTGCCCTGTCCCACACCAGCACGGAACCGAACAGACCAGTGTGAACCCCACTACACAGAGCAGCCACCCTGCCCAACTTGACATGCCTGCCCCGTGCCAGGTTGAATGTGCCCTACCAGAGGATTTTCTATGCTTTAAGGATTCATCTGTAGGATCAGCAAGAGGTCTGAGGAGACCCCTGGCTGCAGCCCAGGGGCTCTGGGTTGCCGCAGGACTGGTGTTGCCATTGCTCGTCCTTGTCCGCTCACCCCTGTCCTTGGCGGCAGCCTCTGAGATTTGACGCATCTCCCCCATTTAGCTCCATAAACCAGCTGGGATTGAATTTTTTGTTCTCAATCCTAAAAAGCCTGGCCATGCCCTGTTGGCTGTGCTCCAGACAGCTCTCCTTTAGCTTCTCCTCCAGTTTCCAGGGTTGGTTTTCATCAAAGAGGGGCTGGCTATCAAAAGGAGGATTTATTTATAGGGTGTCAAATACTCTGTGTGGCACCACAGGTCGTTATATCCCATTCCCAAGCGGCCCCGTGGCCGCACACAGCTGTTCCACCCTTCATCCTGGCCAGGCACAAGCCAATTTCAACACCTTCCTAACATCTCCCGAAGGGATCTATTTCCCAGGAGAAACATCAGTCATGGCACTAAATAAAACTCTTCCTAGCCTTGCCCTTCTCAGGGAACGAAGGAGCACACGGGACCCCAAATCCACCCAGATCCCCTTCCACACACCCCACACATTTTTCCTTGCAGTCAGCACTCAGCAGCTAACCACAGCAAGAGATTTTCTGTTTCTCTGCTCTGCCATAGTTCAGCAAGCACCAMAGTTTTTCCTCAGAGAATTGAGGATGTGCGTGCCTGGGGACTTGTGACACAGCTTGGGACACTTGTCCTTGTTAGCCTTGGGGAGCCAGGCTGGGGGCTACCCTCAAAGCTCCAGAGAGCTCCAGCACCCCCAACACTGCTCACCACAGCTGGCCGGGCCCCACATCCTCCACAGGACCCATCAGCCCAGTTCAATGTCAACATCGAAGGAATGGGATCCTGACAGTCTTCCCTTCGGATGCTTTCCATATAAGGGCCCCCTCTTCCTTTAACCACCCCCCCCCCCCCCCCCCCGAGATCCAGAGCCTGTGCAGGGGAGGAGCTGCGCTGCTGCTCTGCCTACTTACATCTGTAGCTTTCTTCTCCGCCTGCTCCAGCTTCTCCTGGGCCTCCTTGACAGACTCAGAGTACTTCTCCACCTCATCCTCGGTGCCCTTCAGCTTCTTCTGCAGGCCCTGCTGTTCCTCCTCCAGCTGGGGAAAGGACAAAGGGTGGGGATCAGGGGACTTGGTGGTGTCTGCAAGGCTGGGAGGGGATCTGTCCTCCCTTCCTTCTCCTGGGGACACCTATTCTCCTCCTGGGGACCACCAGGCGGTGGGGGCACAGCAGGAGAACATGGACATGTCCTCTCTTGACAACTTTGGGTCTACACATCCTTGAGGGGCTCTTGGTGTAGAGCAGCTCCCAGGATCCCCATCATCCCTGAGCCTGGCAGAGGTAAGGGGGTGGCCTCCCTCCCTTTATAGGGWACTGGAGGATTCCTGACTTGGGGATACAGCTCTGGGGGACACCAGTTTCTATATGGTTGTGGTGGGTGGGAGTCCCCAGGGCTCTCCCTGGCACAGGGACAGGGATAGGTGACACTGGGGTGTCCCACTGAGAMAAGACATGTTTGGGGTGACCAGCATGAGGGGTCAAGGAAACGAGATTGAAGCGTTGTTCTTTGGAACAGACTCATATGGGGTGACATCTCTGGGATACAATCCCAGTGAGGTCAGGTCTCAAGGGCTGTCAATCCCTAGAGGATTCTATCCACAAGCAGGACACCCAGTGGGGCAAGGTCCTTGGGCCAGGACATCCTTTGGACAGGGGATTCCAGGCTGGACAACCAGTATGGGGAGATCAGCGTGGGGGCTGAGTGATCCCAGAGAATGAAGTGTCCCAAGTCTGGACAATCAGGGGGATGCAATTCCCCAGGGCTGGGCACCCAGAGGGATGGAGTTTCCAGGGCCGGACAACCCCAGGGTGGAGGATGTCCAGGCGGGACTCCCAGTGGAGCAGGGTYTAGGGGATGGACACCCCTAGAGCGGAGGTTACCCAGGTAATGCCGGGACACCCACCTGCTTGCAGCGGTCCTCCGCCTGCTTCTTGTCAGCCTCCGCTTGCTCGGCGCGGTCGATGGCATTCTCCTTGTCCAGTTTCAGCATCTGCATCTTCTTCTTGATGGCCTCCATGGTGGCGGAGTGTCGGCGTCGGGGCGCGGGGCAGCAAAGGGACGCGGAGCACCGGGAGCGGCGGGAGCACCGGGAGCGGCGGGAGCACCGGCACTGCGCTCCCCGCCCCGCCGAGCTGCCTAAAAACTGGGGAGGGGCCGCGCCGGGCGGGGGCTGCCCCGGTACCTCCCCCGCCGCCCGCCAGCACCTTTTAGGGACTGGCTCGCCACCGGCCCTCGCACCGAGCGGGACGGGGGGGCGGCCCCCCCGACGGGCATCGCCGCAGCCCCGGCACCCGGCACACAGGGGGCACTGGGCGAGGGACACCCCGGGTCACTGCGCTAGGGACAGCCCAGTGGTGCTGGCTAAGGGACACCCCGGGACACTGTGGTATGGGTACCCTGGTGGCACTGAGCGATGGACACCCCAGGTGGCACCCCAGTGACACCGGGTGAGCAACACTCCGCAGCTCTGTGCTGGGGGTACCCCAGTGGCAGTGGGCAAGGGACATCCTGGGGCACTGAGTAGGGGTATCCCAGTGGCCCTGGCTCCAGTGAGAGCTGTCCTCATGCTAGACGAGGACATTGCACAGCTGGCAGTGCCCTAAGTACACCACGCACACCCTGGGGCCTGAGKGACCCAGCTGGCACTAGCCTGGGGTCACCTCAAGGGCTGAGATGGCACTTGGGAACACCTATGGCTTGCCCTGAAATGCTGGGGACACAGTCAGGCTGTGATTGCATTGAGGGACGTGTTTGGCTGGCATTGCCCATATGGGGAAAATCCCCCAGGAGAGAAGTGAACAGAGCCCCTGACATCCCCATCCAGCTGCTGGCAAGGATGGAGGGCCCCCACTCTGTGCAGACTTCTTGTCACCCACCTCCCCTGCCTTGCACCCTGGTGCCACCATCCCTAGCACCCACAGGGACACCTGGCACATGCACAGTCCATAGGGTGGTATTTCAGGGTGACACAGGACRTACAGGCAGCTCACTGCTCCTCTCCGTCTTTCTGCTCTAAATAAACTGTATTCCAACAGGCAAAAAAATGCAAACCCTTCAAATCCCAGCTCCTCCAAAAATAACCTGTACTTTAATAACGATCGTAAATGCTTCTGGCACATTCCCAGCTGCAGGGTGGGCTGTGAGTCGGGGGGGCTGGAAGGAGCTGGCGGAGGGGCCACGGGAGCCGTGTGGCACGTGTGGAAGGCTGGGATGGGATGGGGACATGAGGGGTGCGCAGGCTCCCCAAACCCACTGCCCCTGGGCTGCAGCCAGCACTTGCTTGACGCAACTTCTCAGCACCAGCGCTCCAAACAGGGAGGAACAAAAAGTTTTTGACAGCTGGAGAAAGTGTCTTCCTAGGAGCCCCCAGGCCTGGATGGTGGAGGGCATAGGAAGGGTGGGAGCAGCCAAGGACCAAGGGGCTGCTGGCTCCACGGGGAAAACAGAAAAGCCGCTGCTGGACTCTGGAGAGCAGCTATTAGTACTGATGAATTAGGCACATATTTGGACAAGGAGAGTCTGTAACTGCCAGCATGTGGCTTCTGAGGGGAGGGGGAAGATCCATCTCCCATCATTCCTGGGAGAGAATAATTGTTTTTCTGTGAGATGTTTCACCCTGGAGCGACTTCACGGGCTTGAGCAACTTCATAAGCTCAGTGCATGGGGCAAAGATGAGGTTGGGCATGGTGCAAGGAGACAGGAAATTGCCCTGGAGCCAGGCTAGCCCTCAGATGTGCCCCCAAAGGATGCAGTTTTCCCTCTCTGCCCCTTCAGGTGTCATAGCCATGTCTAATGGACACTGTTGGAACCATCAGGTACTGCGATCCGTGAGTCTGCCCTAAAGCACATCCTCTGGGGTAACCTCTGGGACAAGGAGGTGCAGAGAGCTGTGGGTGCACATCCCTCCCATTGCTGCCCCGTGCCCACACTTGTCCTCAGCTGAGGTCTCCACGGATGGGAATCCCCTCCATGTTTCACTCTGGGATCAGACCTAACTCCCAAGGAAAATCTTATCCTGACAGCTAATAGGACCTTCCCAGGTGCAATCCATGATGCAGCCTATTGTCCTATCCCTGGTCTCCCCAAGAAGTTGAAGCACAATTTCCCTGCTAACCTCCAGCTTAGCTGGATTTGGATCCCTGCAGAGGACACCAGCTCCAAACCCCTGTGTGCGTTTTCCTGAACCTGCCTGCCAAAATAACCCCTTGGTCAGTGTGAGATTGAGGGGCACTGGTTAATCACATCCCCATGTCCCGCCCCTGGCATTTGTGCCACCAGCTCTTTCTTGTACGCAAGCTGGAGGACACAGCAGTGGATGTGCTTGCAGTCCTGTGCAGGAGCTGCTGGAACTGCCCTGTCCCGGGGATGCCAGGATGGGGCCAGGGCTGCTGCCACGCTGTGTCCGCTCACTGTCCTTGCCGGACACTCCGAAGGGCCCCATGCCCAAGCTGGTACCTGGGTGAGAGGCTGGTGCCGGGTCAGGCCAGCGCAGATTGTCAGGGGACAGCTGGGAGGACTGGGATGCCTGTGAGAGCCACAAATCCACCCTGGAGCCTGGCCAGGGGTGAGTGTCTCAGGGGAAACAGCTCCTCCACACCCCCAGGGACGTGACCACAAGGGGACAGGGGTGGCAGTCCAGGATACTGTGGGATGCTGCCCTTGCCACTGGTAATGTTTGTAGCTACCAGGAACAGCCCAGAGGCAAGGGACAGCTGCCAACCTGCCTGTGCCCCTGCAACATCCTGCAATGTCCCTGTTGCACCCCACATCACCCYTGCCTGCCCTGCCACTGCTTAGGCCCCCCAAATCCCTGCTGAGTGACGGGGTGGGAACAGGTGGGGACACGTTGGGGCAGCTGCTGCCCGCACAGGTTGGCTCTGGGGGGCTATTTCGGGGCGTGAGATCAACACCAGCAGCCGGGAGGGCTCCGGCCACATTCCCAGACCCACACCACACCAAAGACTGTTGCTTCCCCACTGATGGGCCACCAGGGACTGTGGGGTGGGAGGTMCCCCACCTGCACCCTATGGCACCCTATCCAGGAGCATATTTGGTTGGCAGCAGGAATGGGGCCAGGAGCTCAGCTCCACATGTACATACCCCCCCGCCTTCCCTGGGGCCCAAATCCTCCAGAAACAAAATCCCCAAGGCCCCTCCTGCAGTGGTGGCCCCCCGGCAGCACCTGCGAGGCCGGCACATGGCTGGCAGCGGGGGTCCGGCCTGCCGGGTGCCTGGGGCTGGACGTGCCTCAAATATTTTCCATGCTGTATAAGCACCCGTAGCACACTCCCCCCTCCCTTTGCTGGGAGGGAAGGCGCCCAGGCCCCCCTGCCCTCCTAGAGAGGCCTGTTGATACCCAGTTGGCAAGAAAGCAGGAAAACCAGATTTTATTGAAGAATACGTCTTTCTGTGCAGACACTCGCATCCCCCACCCCACCCCGGAGGCTTGGGGGGGAGCTGGTTTCCTTCAATCTTTAATATGGGATGCTTAAAGTATCAAAACGGTGAGAGAAGCCTCAGCAAGTGCAAAGGGGAAGGGAYGGGGGTCCCAGAGGCGAGGAGGGTGGGATGCTGGGCTACAGAACCCCGGCCATAGCGGGGTGTTAGTGAGCAGGGCATGAGCTAGCAGGGAAATAAATGAACTTTGAAAGCTGCAGGCTCAATACTAGAGAAATGGAAAAGTTACAAAAATACTGCAGATCTTGGAAAACAATGCAGGCACTTGGGAAGAAGGAGGAAGGCAGAGCTGGCTGGGGCCGCAGTCGGGGGGAAGCCCTAAGGGAAGGCAAAAAACAGCTCTGGGGGTAAACTCATTGCATCACCCCCCCATCCTGAGGGGAGGCACTGTAGATTCCAGCCCCGCTGCTCCCCAGAGGGGCCTCGGCTGAAAAAAATCCTCATGGGGTAGATTCAGAGCCTTCCAGGGTAGCTGTAAAGGAAGATTCAGCCAGCAATAAGGCATTGGAGGTGAAAGGCATCTCTGTGCGAGAGCTCAGCGAGGGGCCGCTGCTCCCTGCACGCCATGGCACAGGAGAGGGCAAGCCACCTGCCTGTCCCCATCCCACACAGAGGAGAGAGAAAAAAGGGGCACGAGAGGGAACAAAGAAGGCACAAGTAAATATCCCCTTGCAGTGGAGAGCTCTGTGGGCCCGCACCCCGGGGCTGGCGGGTGAGCCCTGAGCCAGTGCAGCCCCGGCTCCCACCCCAACCGAGTCCCTCCGAGCGCTCTGATTGTGCCTTGGGTGTGCATGGGAAGGTGGGCTGGGCAGCAAAGCGGAGTTGCTGGTGCGGCACCGGCTTGGAGGGGCAGCTGAGTTAGTCCCGTGGCTCTGGGTGCGGGCAGAGCTCTGGTCTAGCCCAGACAGCCCTTCGCTTGTGGCGGGTCATCTTAAATAGGAGCAGGCAGGCGGGCGGGCAGCAGTCTGTGCGGTGAGAGGCGGGAGGGCGGGCGGCTCAGTTCTGCTCCTCGTCCCGCAGCTCCGAGGGCAGGAACTTGTACTGCTGCTGCCGGATCATGGCCAGCTTCTTCCGCGCCTCCTCCAGCTCCCGCTCCTTGCGCAGCATCTCCTCCTGGGCGGCGATGATCTGCCAGGAGAGAGCCCCGCAGTCACAGCTGCCTCCCACAGAGGTGGCGGAGCCTCTGCCACAGCAATGCCAACCCCAGAGCTGGGTTCTCCGGCTGCTGCTTCCCTCCCATCATAGCCACTGCCTCACTGGGTGTGAGGGCTGTTGTCCCTGGCATGGGAGCTAAGCAGAACAGCACAGCTCCCATGGCTCAGCCCCACATTCCCTGTAGAGGATCTCAGCTGCACAGAACCAGCACTGGGGCTGTGGCATTCCACACCAGGTAGGTCTCGCCCTCTACCCACTGCTCTGCCTCACATGCGTCACAGGTACTGGGATAGCGTGGGATCAAGGAGAAGCACACTCCTGGGAGTGTGCACCATAATCCACTGCTACTTATGGCAGGGCAAGTTAAGGCCTCATTGTTTAACTGGTGCTTGGTGGGAAGGGTGAACCCACAGCATTTTTGTGACGCTTCCTCAAGACATGACCTGTGCTTGGTTGGTGGTAGGACGTGCTCCTGAGACACACACACAGGTTGTGGTGGCACCTGGAGC